ACACTGATTGTTTGTTCAGCTGATGTTGCTACACGCTTCATAGGAGACAACTCGGAGCCGCTGAATGCACGTGCACTATGAGCATACTCTGTGTGATGTATTTAACATATTCATACCTACATGTTTGTTTTTGTAAATTCTTTATTCACTGTCCACCTGGGAACATTTAACCAACCTTGAATAAATAGTCTTGCAGTTGCAGAGAGCGTTCAGAGTCCACGACCAGTGAACAGCTTAAGACACCTCCCTTCTCGTATCACTATGCATCTTATACAAATGTCAGTATCTACTTTCTAAAAGAGGGATGTATGGCAACAACAATGAAACACACACACACACACCTGAGTTACAGAGGCTTTAAAACAGAAGAGGTCAAGCATCCTTTACCTTAGATAATGGAAAATGTGGATGAGTCAGTATGTTCTCCCTGTGCCTGCGTCGGTTCTGTCCAGCTTCCTTCCGCAGTCTAAACACATGTGGCTTAGGTTGACTGGTGACTCTAAACTGCCCATAGGAGTGTGTGTGTGGGTGTTTGTCTACATGTCAGCCCTGTGATGGACTGGAGACATGTCCGGGGCGGACCCTGCCTCTCACCCAGTGTCAGTTGGGATTGGCTCCAGGCCCCCGCGACCCTCAATAAGCAGGATACTGTTAGGTATTTTTTTTAGTTAGATAGATATTGGTTAGATATTTGTTGTATTAGAAATGTTTAGTGGAGACAGGATGTCTAGTTTAAATGCTTAGTCATTCTCATGAGTTTTTTGCAGGGTGCATTATGGTGAAGGACAACTAGATAGAAAAGTTTGATTGTCAGCAGGCAGGATGATTATTGTTATTAGTATGATATGTTCAGCCGTAATCTTAATCATAATATCTTCCTAGGCTTAATGTCCGGACATGTCCCTGAATGTCCTGTATGTTTTTAGATACACACCACATAATCAACAACTCACACACAAATTGATTTTCTCCATGTTTTGACTATTGTTATGGTCAGCTGTGAAGCTGGCATATCGGGTGACGCCACGGTTTGACGTCCCTGGGTAGAATGGGGTTAGCCCAAAACAGATATAATGTACAGGCCTGTTGGGTTCGGGGTCTTTCATTGTTCATCTGCCTGCGCGCAGGATTGGAGGTGGAAGATACCTGGACGTGTAATGTTAATTTTACCTGTGATCTTTTGAATAAAACGGTTATTTTTTATATCCAAGTGGTCCGTTTCGTCTCTGTGAGTTCCTGGTTAAAAGAACTGGGAAATACCTTACAATAGATAATGGATGGATGGACTGTTGTGCATGGGAAACTTGTTTTGATCATAACTTGGTAAATCTGTTCATCTGTAAGTGAAGTAAAAAAGTCATCTATATTAGTTACACAGCGGCTGTTCATTCCTCTCTGGTGGGAGAGACTGGAAGCAGCAGGTGCCTAGTGATGGCGTTTTACAAACAGATGTTGCTAAAGTGCCTTGAATGGAAGTCAGGTTCCCCACAAACTAAAGTCCAAAGCTGAAAATATACCTGCCACTGTTTTGTGCATTCTGTCCATGCCAGGCCTTATTACTGGGCCAGAAACTGCCCTTGACTGGTGCAGTGGCTCCCACAGTCTCCAGCACTCAGACCTACTGTTTATTGGTTCAGGGAGGGTTGTTTGTTGGTTGGCTGGTTTTTCTTCTGTGGGTCTTGTCAGCAAATTATACAGCAGCTGTACAATCACAGAGCTGCTTGGTAATAAAACTATAACAGCTAATTAAACGACTTCATTGGTTGTCCATACTATTGTGGTACCGGGTTTGCCTGAGAACACTTGTTTAATAACGCGTGGGCCTACGTGAACCACTGCTGTACCTGTGCAGGTGCATTCACAGAATCACTGTGATTCTGTGAATGCAGCTGAACTGTTTTCTTTCTGTCCAGACACACACACACACACACACACCGCTCTTTGTGCCCAACAAGTGACTACAATCAGAGTGAGTCACGCAGTGCACGCCCGCCGCTCCCTTCTCGCGGGTCAGCATTTTTCCTTCTGTTAACGCGCTTATCGTCTGGGCGCGGGGGTGTGTTTGGTTTATACTTTTTGCTCTGGCTCCGTTTCTGAAAGTCCAGGTTTCGTCTACAGTGCAGGCTCTAATGTGTCTGTGTGTACACTGCGCGTGTGCGTATGTGGGTACAGATGTTTGACGCGCGAGGAAAAAGGGTTCAGAGATTGAATTAATGTGCGCGTGTGTTTGTATGTATATGAGCTGCAGGCGTGTGGTAGTCAGGGTGTGTTTGTGTGAAGGTGTGTGTGTTTGTCTTTGTTGACAGCCAATGGAGGCGGGATATTTAAGGTGGAACCTGTTTGCCTGCTTTAAGCCAAGTATTGGTCCACCTGACTGGCGCGCCTCTCTTCAGTCACAGCGCGCACGGCACAAAGCTCTGGACTGAAACTCTACGGCACAACTTCGGCAACGACTACAACACCTGCCTGAAGCATCCTGAGGTCAGTCGTGTTTATATTTTTATTTTCCAGCTGGGAGCTTCGTCCTGTGTGGCGGGTGGTCCTTAAGGTGGTTTTGGGTGAGAGTGGGCTGCGCTTCAGGTGCCATCATCCGGGTACTTTCTGTCAAGCTCCTGTGTTACCCACCTGTTCTCCGTGTCACAGCTGTTTTTAATCACAGGACAATATGTTTCTGTGGCTCAACGTCCTTTAAATGGTATTAGTTGTCTTTCCACGGACGCAGCGCCTTCTTCTAATCTGCTCTTTATCTTAAATCGTTTCTCAGGCTATTTTTGGCTGACGTTGCTTTTTTTTACACTGGTCAGCTTGATGTGTGTTCCTCCTGCCAAGTTACAAACGTGCATCCATACATGTGTGTTGCTGACCAAATGGAAAAGTAAGCACGTTGAGTTTCTTCACCGGGGACCAGCGCCGCTGCACGTCGACCTCCTGCTGACGGAACACTTTCATTTTTGTGCCTTTGGGCGTGTGCACTTTGGCTCACCTTTGAAATGTTTAATGGGCAACTTTTCAAGTAGTAAATAAACTGCGCAGGTGTCGTTCAAATTCTGATTGATAAACAGGAGTTTGTCTCAGACATAATTTAGACTAACTGACCTCTAAACAGTAAAACTGCACTTTTTCAGGATATGTGGTCATTTTGCCACATCATATTTAAGGTTTTGGATTAATCAGAATTGTCATTGTGGCATTTTTAATGTGATTTTGATTATGAGTAAAGAGATTTTGCTGAGTAAATCAATGGATGCTGAGTAATGTGTCATATATCATATATATGATATACAACCACAAGTTGACTTAAGAGATTAGTGCAGTTTTAACATTCTGCTTTGTAGTTTTGAATTCTTCATTACATATCACATTCATATACAGGGAATTTAGTGATAACTAATACAGTTTTAATTAGGCCCACAGTGTGTGTCCATGCTGTGCGTCTGCTGATATCATGGCACCGACGCTGTGTGAATGGTGGAGAGGTTCTGCATTCATCTGCTTTAATCAGTCCATCTTAAATAAGACGAGCTGAAAGAAGTCACCAAAGATTTTCATCCTTATTTACAAACCTTTATTTTGAAATGTTGTGAGCAGCAGCTGTGTGGTGACCCTGACAAGGTGCAGTTTCACTGATCAGCTCATCTCTGTGCATCATTTCACGTGATGTTGACTGAACGTAGTGGCTCTGGGTTCACTCAGTGTTCTGATGGGATTTCTAAGCATGGGTGTGTTTACTTTACCTTTATGCGTGTACAAAAAAAGGAAACACCCAACAACAGTGCACTTGTTCGCAGTACTCTCGATAAACCTGTTTGTGGTTTTCTTCAGCTGTGAAGCAAGAGCCCTGAGGCTGTAACTCAAATACCTGCGAGGGCACCTGCTGCCTCACCTGGGTGTCAGTCACGCACATGCACACAGTGAAACTGGCACCCTCTTGCCCAAAGGCTTTGTGTTTTGTGCTGCATATTTTTTTTAAATCCTCAGTAAAATAAACACGTCTCTCAGGGCATGTGTTACTGAGGACTTCATGACGCACATTTATATTGATCGAAATTAACTTTTAATATGCTGGGATGAGATGAAACCATATAATTTAGCTTTAAAAATAACAAATTAATGATATTTTTAACAATATTTTTACAGCGTGCCTTCAGTTGCTGCTGGCTTCCTAGCAGTTCCATCCCCTCTTGCTTGTGCTGATTCTTGTGTGACAGTGACAAAATAAAATGACGTGTTTCCCAAAAGCAGAATTTATCTGGGTAACACAAATATATTTTCTCCAACCCTATTTCTGTTTCCCTCCTTTCAGATGTTTACTTGGAACTGCAGTTGAAACAGTGAATCCACTGAAGTCTAACGGAGTGGGGCCTTCCTGTGGTAAGCATATTCACTTCCTGTTTACTGTGCCTGCGCCGTGTTGTGCTCGCTACCCGATTGCCTCTCTGCTGTCTCCTTCCAGCTGCTACCCACCCAACACTCCCAGTACCCCATAGAGACTGTGTCTGCTCCCCCGAACACCTAAATTATATAAATCAAAAATCAGCTCAAAATAAGTTATTAATAAGAACCTAATGAAATGAAGACGACTCCTCTTATAGAGCCAAACAACAGGACAATCAAATGTGGACTATTAAATATCAGATCTCTCTCATCTAAATCTCTGTTAGTGAATGATTTGATAAGTGAACATCACATTGACTTATTGTGTCTTACTGAAACATGGTTACAGCAGGAAGAACCTGTCAGTCTAAATGAATCCACTCCACCTAGTCACAGTAATTGTCACATCCTTCGAAGCTCAGGCCAAGGTGGAGGTGTGGCAGCGATCTTTGACTGCAGCCTATTAATTAGCCCTAGCCAGTTCAGTTCAAAAGCCTGTTCTGTTTGTTATTGTATACCGTCCACCTGCTCCTTATTCAGAGTTTTTAAGTGAATTCTCAGACTTTCTGTCTGATTTAGTGCTTAGTACAGATAAAATAATCATAGTAGGCGACTTTAATATTCATGTAGATGCCGACAATGACAGCCTCAACAATGCATTCTGTTCATTATTAGACTCAACTGGCTTTTCTAAAACTGTAAATAAACCCACTCATTGTTTTAATCACACCCTTGATCTTATTCTGACATATGGCATCGAAACTGAACTCAAAGAGAGTTCAACTGCTGCTCAGGGGGGATTTGTTGGTTTTTTCCTTTCTTCTACTACTACTACTATACTACTACTGCTTATAATAATAACAATAATAATAGTAGTAGTATTAGTAATAAGGTCTAGACCTTACTTTGTACCTTGCTGCTGTACAGAAAAGTCAGTTTATTGGTTGGAAGTTAGACTCAGAATGCTGTACTGCTTTTCTAAATTGATTATGACATGAATTGACCCATACAAGTAGATTCTCAACCTGTTTTCTACCAAGATATAGATAATGTGGAAATCCACCCTGTCTTAGAGGTCCTATCTCTGCTTCATCAATTACCCAGTTCTGCATCTTTTGATTAGTCTTTGGTTAGTGAGCCTTTCCCTCGCTTGTTTAAGTGAAAATATCCTATGACTAGAACCGTTTTCTGGATTCTCCTGGTCCTTCGGCTGCACTGAGGGTCAGCTAATGTCCTTCTTGTTTTGTTTTATAAGCTTTAATATATGACAGTGTGTGTATCACGTTACCATGATAAGTGACTGTTTGCAATGCTTTTTTCTCCTCTAGGTTTAATCCAAAGGGCTTTTTCAATGTCACTGTGACAGAAACAAGGATGATGGTATATGAAACATCAACGCATTTTATTTCTGTGTTAAAAAGTTAAACATCTTACAAAAATTAGATTTCAGATGTATTTCTGTTGTAAACACTGTATGAAATGTCTTTGCCTGCAGCGGAGACATCGCCGAGGAAGGAGCCTCTCTGAGGCCCTGACCCTGGAGCAATCAGAGGAGGGCGGGCTGGTCGTGTCCGGCATCAACAGTGCCTCAGTCAAGCAGGGATTGAGGGAAGGTATGACCTTTGGCTTGGTACATTAGCTTTTTTCCATATTGCTTGAAATTGTTTTGAAAACAAGACATAATAATGACGTAGCTTTTAGTTTAAATAGTATTTCTCACAAGAACACACCTTAGAAATTCAAGGAAATCATTGCGCACTATGCCCAGATCCAAGGTCGTGTTAACCATGGATGTTGTAGAATGAGCAGAAGGAACTTTGTATAGTATGATTATCAAAACACATTTCATTCATTAAAATGTACAGTTACTGTTGAGCTCACTACTATTTATCCTTGTTAAGTTATATCAAATTTTTCTGGGCTTTACTGTGTTTGTTTTGTCAGTATTGGATTGCATCAAACTGTAAGTTCTCTAATTGTTTTGCTCCTCCAAATGACATGTGCAACATGTTTAAACAGCTTTTATAGTTCAGCCCAGTTACTGTACAAACACAGCAACTGTGTCAACACAACTGAATATGTAGGTTATAAGGTTACACTGCCGTGGTAATGAATTGCATATTTTTATAGTCGCTAAATGTAAATGAATAGTTAACAAATGTTAGACTGCGGTAGAAATACAATGTAGTAGTTACTTTCTTTTTCAAAGCTCACAAAGAGCACTGTTCTCTGAAATGTTAATAAACTTGTTTGGGAGGATTGCTTAGCTGATTAATCAGCTTCCTGTTGTGATTCTTTTATACTTAATGCCTGGTGCCTTTTCCTAAACTTAAGTAATATACGTATTATGATTTTCACCCATGAAAGTGTGTGATTGCTCTGAAACAAGCTAATGTTTCATGCAGGCACTTGAATTTTCTTTTTCAGGGGATGAACTTTTGGGGGCAACAATCAATTTTAATACACTGTCAAAAGACGAGGTGTTACAAGTACTGAAGCTGATTGAACCATATAATGACAAGGTCCAAGTTCTCACCAGGAACAACCTGAGCAAGAGCCTTGGAAATCTGGACCAGGTGGCCAAGAGTCCTGATACGGTAGGTGGAATACAGATACTGCAACTTCAGACTCAATTAATGGATTAGTAAATGCCTAATTTTCTTTTACCTTCATGCAGCAGTGGTCCACAATATAATGAACATATATCTAAATATTCTGCTAAATGTTCAATGCTAAACCTAAGTTCTTATTTGGTTTTCCTGCATTGAAAGGGCATAAATTCTAATAGCACTTTGTTTGTTGAGCCAACAGCTGTTTTTGTACTTCAATCTGAAGGAAACAGTGATAACTTTGATCCCCACACCAACTGCTAGAGAATCATTACAAGAACCCTTGATATTATAGTTACATACCAGTCACCAAGTGCTTTATATTTCTAGATGCTGAAGGATTCTTACAGCAAACTCTACAAGGCCAAAATCAAGAGGTTTATGAAGGGTGACTCGGATGGTCCTGAGGACAGCGGGGTTAATGCCAATTCAACCCTACCAGGTTCATCCAAGGTCAGCCTAAAACAAGACAGTGGGTTGCCTCGCCTTGGAGTTGATTTTGGACGTCTGAAAACCAAGAACCCAAGCACTAACTTTAATGTCGATTCAGAATTTGATGATGCAACATTGTCTGGCGATTTAACAGATGGCAGCAATATGAACCTTCCACCAATGGGTCTCGGCTGGGCTGGAGCTGCTGTAAGTGGAGGTCAGGTGCCGAGACTTAAAGTCGACGGAAGAAGTCCACAGATTAACACTCCAGATTTCCACCTGTCCCGAACATTACCAGAAGGTATAAAACTGCCAACCATTGACAGTCCATCAGCTGACTTGACAATGCCAAATCTTGAAAGACCTCGTGTTGGACTGGAAAGCAATGGAGCTTTTAGTGCTCCAGAAATAGGAGACCTGCCAAACTTGGGGTTCTCTGGGCCATCATTTTCTGGTCCAGAATATGATATTAGGACACCAGGTGTAGAAACCCCAGATCTTTCCTCAGGTAAACTGAATCTCAAGTATTCCAAGAAACTGAAAAAACCAGGTCTAAATGTGGATGATCCTTCCAGGTTTGTAAAATCACCCAAACCTAGGCTGTCTGGGAATTCTCTTGACTTGGACCAAGAATTGCCAAGTGTTAATGTTTCGGAACCTGATCTAAATGGGATGAACATGGGTTTAAATATGGGCACTCCATCTGGCAAACTCAATATGCCCAAATTTGGGTTTTCAGGCAACAGTGAAGCTGATGTTGAAACATCTGACTTAAGCATCAAAACACCAAAGCTAAAAGGTGGAATTCATTCACCTGATATAAATCTGTCTAAAGCTAACCTTAAGGGACCATCATTAGCCATTGGCACTCCATCGGGTGGCATCAAAGGTCCTTCTCAAAAATACAATCCTCCTAAATTTACAATGCCCAAATTTGATTTACCAAATATTCCAGTTCCAGATCTCAAAGCTGGACTTGTAAATCCAGATGTTAACTTAAATGGACCAAAGCTGAATGGGTTTAATGGTGAGATAAAGACTCCAGACCTTGATCTTTCAGCCCCCAAATTTAAAGGAGCTATTGGTTCCTCAGATTTGAACTGGGACCTAAAAACAGATCTAAAATCACCTGATTGGAGTCTAAAATCTCCAAAGATGAAGGGTAGAATAGATGCCCCTGACATGGACCTACCAAACATGGATCTTAAAGCTCCCAGGTTGGATGTTAACACTCCAAATGTGAACATTGGTTCACCCAAAGCAAAACTTAAAATGCCCAAACTCAAGATGCCCAAATTTAGTGGCCCAAGCCTAAAAGGACCTGACATTGATGGGAACTTAAATGGTCCAGATTTTGATGTAAATGTACCCAAGGTCAATCTTAAAGGTCCTAAAGCTGACTTCGATGCTGATATTGCGGGTCCATCTGGAAAATTCAAAAAGCCAAACTTGAACCTACCTAATTTAGGTTTTTCTGGTCCAAAGTTAGATGGACCAAACCTGGACCTCAAATCACCTGACCTAGATATTTCTGGCCCTAACCTCAGTGGAGGCATAAATGCACCAGATCTAAATATGCCCAAGGTTGACCTCAAAAGTCCAAAGCTGGACCTTCATACCCCAAATGCGAATTTAGACATGCCATCAGGTAAACTCAAGATGCCAGAGCTTCATGCTCCTGACTGGGATATTAATGCTCCTTCAGGCAAATTGAAAATGCCTAAATTGAATCTTTCTGGCAAGAGTCCAAATTTGGACCTAAACACAGGTCTGAAATCACCTGATTGGAGTCTAAAAACACCAAAGCTAAAGGGTGGAATTGATGCCCCTGATTTGGACTTGCCAAACATGGATCTTAAAGCTCCCAGGTTGGATGTTAACACTCCAAATGTGAACATTGGTTCACCAAAAGCAAAACTTAAAATGCCCAAACTCAAGATGCCCAAATTTAGTGGCCCACGCCTAAAAGGACCTGACATTGATGGGAACTTAAATGGTCCAGATTTTGATGTAAATGTACCCAAGGTCAATCTTAAAGGTCCTCAAGCTGACTTCGATGCTGATATTGTGGGTCCATCTGGAAAATTCAAAAAGCCAAACTTGAACCTACCTAATTTAGGTTTTTCTGGTCCAAAGTTAGATGGACCAAACCTGGACCTCAAATCACCTGACCTAGATATTTCTGGCCCTAACCTCAGTGGAGGCATAAATGCACCAGATCTAAATATGCCCAAGGTTGACCTCAAAAGTCCAAAGCTGGACCTTCATACCCCAAATGCGAATTTAGACATGCCATCAGGTAAACTCAAGATGCCAGAGCTTCATGCTCCTGACTGGGATATTAATGCTCCTTCAGGCAAATTGAAAATGCCTAAATTGAATCTTTCTGGCAAGAGTCCAAATTTGGACCTAAACACAGGTCTGAAATCACCTGATTGGAGTCTAAAAACACCAAAGCTAAAGGGTGGAATTGATGCCCCTGATTTGGGCTTACCAAACATGGATCTTAAAGCTCCCAGGTTGGATGTTAACACTCCAAATGTGAACATTGGTTCACCCAAAGCAAAACTTAAAATGCCCAAACTCAAGATGCCCAAATTTAGTGGCCCACGCCTAAAAGGACCTGACATTGATGGGAACTTAAATGGTCCAGATTTTGATGTAAATGTACCCAAGGTCAATCTTAAAGGTCCTCAAGCTGATTTTGATGCTGATATTGCAGGTCCATCTGGAAAATTCAAAAAGCCAAACTTGAACCTACCTAATTTAGGTTTTTCTGGTCCAAAGTTAGATGGCCCGAACTTGGACCTCAAATCACCTGACCTAGATATTTCTGGCCCTAACCTCGGTGGAGGCATAAATGCACCAGATCTAAGTATGCCCAAGGTTGACCTCAAAAGCCCCAAACTAGACATCAATACCCCAAAGCTCAACTTAGACATGCCATCAGGTAAATTCAAAATGCCAACACTGGCAAAACCAAATGCAGAGCTCCATGCTCCAAACCTTGATGTTGATGGTCACTCTGGCAAATTGAGAATGCCTAAATTGAATATGTCAGGTACAATGCCAGACACAGATCTTAAGTCACCAGATTTGAGCCTGAGAGCTCCAAAAATAAAGGGTGGATTTGATGCCCCTGGTCTGGATTTACCAAAGATGGATCTTAAACCTCCCAAGTTGGATGTGAATACTCCAGATGTCAACATTCGTTCGCCTAAAGCAAAGATGAAAATGCCCAAAATGAAAATGCCTAAAGGTACTCTACCAAGCCTAAAAGGACCTGAGATTGATGGCAGGTTAAATGGGCCAGACATTGACATCAATGCACCAAATGTCAAACTCAAAGGGCCCAAAACCAACTTTGAAATGCCAAATGCTGATTTTGGCAACCCATCAGCAAAACTTAAAAAGCCACATTTGAAAATTCCTGATGTGGAGTTTTCTAGTCCAAAATTACATCGTGGAAACTTTGACCTCAACTCACCAGATCTTAATGCCAGATTACCAAAAGGACCAAATTTGAACTTAAATTCAGGCCTAAAAAGTCCAGCTTTGAATCTCAAAACGCCAAAGATGAAAGGTGGAATTAATGCCCCAGAGATGGACTTACCAAACATGGACCTTAAAGCTCCAAAGTTAGATATGAATACTCCAGATTTCAACATTGGGCTTCCTGATGCAAAGTTCAAAAAGCCCAAAACCAAGATGCCAAAAGGCCCCAGTGTTGACATAAATGGAGACCTACAGGGACCTGACTTCAACATTCCAAATGTAGATGTTAATGGACCAAAAGGAAAAATAAAAATGCCAAGATTAAATGCACCAGACATGAATCTTTCAGGACCTAAACTGAAAGGCCCTAGTGTAAGCATGCCAGGTTTAGATTTGCCTGATGCCAGTTTCAAGGGTCCCAAGGTAGACCTCGATGCAAAACGTCCTGATCTGAATATGAAGCCACCAGGGCTGAATGGGAATATGCAGATGCCACAGCTGCATCTCAGACATCCAGATCTTGACATTGACGACCCTTCACTAAATTTCAAAGGACTTTCTAAGAATCACAGATCAGATATGACAGGTGTGAACATGAAAATGCCTGTCCTGAATGCAGATGGAGATGTCAGATTTCATCACACTGATACAAAGTCACTTAGACCTAAAGTAAAGTCCAGCTACCCTTTGGTGGATGCTGGTTTTGGCCAAGATATTAATTTTGACCATTCAGATCTCAACATTGATGACTTTACAGGACGGGATCATGTGCTTAGAGCCAGAGCTTCAACACTGGACCCCCAGGCATCATATAATTATGGAGACATGGTTTATCCATCAGGTGCTAATATTGACATGAGAGACCCCAGACACAGCAGACGAATCCCAGCTGGTGACGTTGATGTCTCTTCAAAGCACCAGAGAACAATGCAGCCTGTACCTGATAATTCAGATGGTTACTATGTCACTGTTTTCCCCACTCAAGCACAAAATCGGAAAATGTCAAATCGCAAAAGTAATACTCTTGGAGGTCTTGACTTTCATCCAGGAAATATGGACCTTGAGGTTCCAGACAGTGAGCTTAAAGGGTCAACACACTTTTTCTACAACCTTGTATAGATTTAAAGCACTCATGCTTCCAAAAGTGGCAGCCGCTTTTTTAAAAATATATATATATAAAGCTTTTTTATTGGGTTTATTTATTGTGACTCAAACTGATGTATGTTATGTGCCTCATTTACGTATTTGTATATAATGCCACTCTTACAGCTTTGTGATGATGCAAACCTACATTAAAATGCTGCATTGTTGCACTTATTATGAATGTAAATGTAAACATTTTCATATTTTGTAACAATGAGTGTTTACGTTGTACTATACTGTTTTGAAAGTAGATATTTTTGTACATCAAAGCTAAACCTTTTGATTTTGTTATGGCACCTAAAGGCACCAGAATTCCTGCATCTTCTCTGATGCTGAAAGTTGAGGAGGAAATGTGTACCTGTTGGATACTATTACAAAAAGATGTTTTGTTATATTTTATCAACTGAATGTTAAAATATCCAAAGTTTGCATATCAATATAATTTTATTGTATGTTTGTTCTTTTGAAACACCCACTATATTTTATATTCACTGGGGATTGTATTATTTGTATTTTTGTTTTTTTATTTTGTATATTTTTTTTCCTTTTATCATGAAAAAGATTTGTAATTTTCACTTGTAATATTTGATGAAAAATGATTTATTCAATTAAAAAAGAGAGAGAACAGCCCTCACTAACGGATTTTAATGTAATTTTTTAAAACACTACCAATACTTTCATTTACACATTTCATAAACTTCCAAACCTTTGTGTATAACCTCTTAAAGGTTATACACAATTAATTGTAAATTCGTCTTCGAAAACATAAAATGTAATCTACAATTATGGTTTTATTTAGATTTTATTAGTATTATCTTGTATTTGAATTTATTTTTCCCCTTCTTTCGTCAAACCTGAATGAAACTCCTACTTGTACTAGTTGATGGAAAACAATTTAGTCAATAAAGTTAAAAACACCGCCAACCGCCTCGATACGTCATCAACGTGCGCCTACACGCCACACGGAAACGCCACTACGACCTTTCACGCCGCAGACAGTGAGGAATAGAAACAGGCTTTCACTCTGTTTATAATGTTTATTACAAATTATTTGAGAGGAAATTAAGTTCGCGTGACTGCGGAAGCAAACCGAACAGAAATGCTTCGTTTGTCGCTGCTAGTTTTTAGCAGAGGAGTCGCTAAAAGGGTGAGTAACGTCAGGGACTGGTGTAGCTTCGACTTAACTGGGAAGGTCTCGTTAATACGTGTTCATTATTTGATAGTGGCTTCAAAACTGACCTCATACGTCTATTAACGTTTGTGAACAAGAAGAGTTCATGTTTTAACCAGAACATTTGATTTGATTTGATTTATTCTTTCAAACATGTAGAAACAAATGATATCAACACACACATAATTTACACAAATCCAACCAATGCTAATCCAGAATCAGTTTGCTTATACCAGCACATGTTTGAATGGAGTAGGAAGAAGTCAGACTTATCCAGTCCTACCCCATAACATCATCTTATACAAAAAATGTCATGCATCATTGGCTGCAAGCAGTATGTCTACATAGGTAATTCTCTTCTTCACCAGACAAGTAATACACAGAAAATTAAAACAGAGTGTTTCCTTCATGCATTCTTGATTAAATCTCTTATTCTTGCATATATCTTGAATGACACATACTTTTATATTTATATTTAAACTCCTCAATTCTAGTACTGTTTTTCATGTCCACACTTAAATTATTCCATAAATTGACCCCACTTATAGAAATACAAAATCTTTTTTTGGTTGTACATATAGCATGAACTTTTAGATTGAACTGACCCCTTAAATTGTATCCCCCTTCCCTTTCATCAAATAACTTTTGGATTCCACCAGGTAATAAATTGTTCCTGGCTTTATACATAAACACAGCAGTCTTATATTCCACTAAATCAAAGAATTTTAACAATTGAGACTATGAAAACTACATTGGTGTGATCCCTATACCCCATCTTATGCACAATTCTTATCGCTCTTTTTTGTAATATATACAATGGTTGAAGTGAACCTTTGTATGTATTTCTCCAGTTTTCAACGCCATACTCTAAGTATGGTAAAATCAATGAAGAATACAAAATGCGAAGTGCTTTCACGTCCAGCATATATCTAACCCTTGCCAATATCGATATATT